TAAGATGACCAGACACCGCAATGTTCCTGAATGAAAGCAATTAGGTGGCCTCTTTGAGACGAAACAGATTGAGGAACTGTTCACTTCTACACAGACACAAAACTAATAATGTTGCTGCTAGAAATGTCTGCAGAGCCTCCAACAGAACATTAATGTAAAAGGGGCCAAGCTGCACAGGAGCATGCAGTAATAAAGAAATCAAGCTTCCTGCCTGATTATCCTAGGAGGAAAAAAACAGCTCTTAATAATCCTGAAACACTTCTTATCCAAGCAATTTGGAAGAGAAAAACCCATGATTTAGAAAAGGATTTTTGTTTTAAAATGAACCTTTGCTTCCCAGAGTGGGATTTGGCCACTTGCAAGACAACACAGGCTCTGATTTCTCAGGGTGACTCCCATTGCTGTTTTCTCACGTCAGAAGACCATGGGCACTTAGTGGGCCGTTATGTGACCCAGCTGCTGAGGTTCTATAATTTCTCTCGTCCCTAAGATCCCAGAATCAATAAAAAAATCAGCATTCTATCATCAAGCCCTTGCTTGATCCGCACAGAAGAACAAAGACCTGTTCTAACCCAAGACGGTGGTGTCTGTCTTTCTAATAGTCAACGCAGTTGCATTTTTGTCAGAGTGTGTGTTTGTAGATGCAGAGAAGCTGTAAACCCCATGAAGGTATGTGCAGTGTCCGACTCTACTCACCATTCTATGCCTTCATCTTGTATAGCGTTTACGCAACAGCTGTCAGCCCACAAGCAACCTCGACAAGTGAAGGCAAGAGTGATGAAGGGGAGCTGCGGCTTCAGGAAGGGACAGCACTGGAGGATCCTACAGGTGCAGCACTGTAACTGCAATGAAAAAGGGAATGTTCAAGGAATTTCCCATATTTGCTGAAACTGTCTGGGTAGGTAATTGTTCTGTGATTAATTAATCATTGTAAATAATTATAAAGATTAGTTATCAGCTTGTGAGGTGGAGCTAACAATTGGCATGAAGGCCTTGAGGAGGACACGGGTGGTGGAGAAAGACATTTAAGAGGAAAGCCCTAAATTTTTACGTGAGGCGGAGGGCTTTGCATCACTGATGAAACCAGCAAGAGAACTGTATATTAAGAATAATTTCATAAGGACGTGGGAGGAAGAGGTCAAGGAATGCTGGGCGAATTGACAAATGGCACTTTATTATAACAAAAGCTTTTGTTCAGCAAAGTACAATGCAGAAGATAAAATGTTAAATCTCTTCACAGTACAATTGATGAAGGACTCCTAGCCAGAGCATGCAAGTGGCATCTATAAACCCATCAGAAAAATTCAGAAAGCACAATTGAAAAATGACAAGATTCATCCAGGCAGTTCAGATTCATATCCTTGGAATGGACAATGCTAAAAAAGCTGACAGTGCCAGCTGTTAACAAGAGTATGAAACAGCTGCCATTCTCAAATACTTTGCATGTTGAGGGGTTGGTTTACCAGAGCTTATCAATCTACCATGCTTCAGCAATTCTGCTCCACAGTACACAGACAATTCTGTAAAAAATGTGAAATAATTAACTTGTTCAATCAGCTTCACCTGAACGTTGCTTGAACTAACCCAAATCTGAACCCTTATGGTAAGTTACACAATGAAACAGTATTTGGCTTTGAAAAAACAAACAAACAAACAAACAAACAAAAAACAACTTCTTCTACAGTATGGAAGATTTTCACAATCTAGAGCAAAGAACCTGACAAGAGGAATATACCCACGGTTTGTTTCATTTATACAAAGTTAAGAAATAGATGCAAACGACTTTTGTATAATCATTCAGGATTGTTAGCTCTATGCAGGTAGTGATCAGAAAAAGTGGCAAATGTCCACTGTTTCTTGTTATTAAATCTGGGAGGTGTTAGCACAAGAATGAATGTTCACTTCATGCAAGCATTGTTCTGCATGGTTGTGACTCTATAACTTTATTTGGATTTTCAGTTTATTAAAAATTATATTTAAGAGTAATGAGCTGGAATCCACCAAGTGAAATTAAAACTAGACTTTTAGGGCTAGTGAGTTAGCTTGGTGGCTAAAGTGCTTTCTGTCAAGTGTGAGGATGAGAGTTCAGATCCCCAGAACCCACATAAATGCTAAGTGGGAGTGGCTGTCAGACTGTAGTTACATCATTAGAAGACAGAGACAAAAGGGCTGGAGAGATGGTTCAGTGGGTAAGAGCACTGTCTGCTCTTCCAAAGGACCCAGGTCCAATTCCCAGCATCTGCATGGCAACTCACAATTGTCTGTAATGCCAGTTCCAAGGGATCTGATACCTTCACACTAATGCACATAAAATAAAATTTAAATAAATTATTTTAAAAAAAGAGATAAGAAAGTCCTAGAGCCAGTTGGCGATTGAGACTAGCCATGTCATGTCAGCAAGCCCTGGGTTTGACTGAGAGGCAGCAGAGGTGAATAAGATGAAGATTGAGGATGATTTCTCACATCAACCCTGGTCCTCCTCACGCAAACTCAAAGACATGTACCCCCAAGTACACACACATACACATGTGCTTCCCTACACATTCATACACATGCAGACACACCACACACATGAAAATAAAATAAACTCATCTTTTAGGGCTATGATAATATTATCTTGACACCCTCTAGAATCAACACAGAGATAGACAGGCTTCTGGGTATGGTTGTAGAGCATTACTTTGAATATGTTCTCTGACGTAGAAAGACCTTCCCACTGTGGACAGCACTATGCCTTGGTGCAAGGATCATAAAATATATAACTGGAGAAAGCAGCCTGGGGATCTACCAGAAACTCTTTACTTCCTGACATGGATCTGGTAGGACCAGCCTCCTCAAGCTCCCACTGCCTTGGTTCTTCCATCATGATAGATAGTAGCCTTGAACTGTTCCTTTCCAACATAAGCTGATTTCATCACGGTATTTTATCACAGCACAGGAAAGAAAGTTAAGACTCGACCTTGGAACATCAGCTCTGTGTAATTAGAGCCTGTTCTGTTTTGTTTGTTTGTTTGTTTGTTTGTTTTTGCTAGGCTGCTTGACACAAAAGCAACTAGCTTTTGTTATACATACATACATATATATATGTGTATACATATATATATATATACTTAACTACAGATGTCTTGGGTCAAAAGTCAGAAAGTTGGCATCAAATTGTTGAAATATGGAGGAGCAATAATATTTGAATTGGCCTCTGACAGCAGAGAGAGCCTCTGCCCTGGGCACTTGCTCAACCTGTGACCTGAGTTCATTGTATTTTGCTGTCTGTCCTCAAGTCCTCCACCCTCATATTGCCTTTTTGCTCTGTGTTTCCTGCTCACCTTTTTCTGCGTGTTGGCATTTTCTTTCTGGTGTGCATATCTGTCCATGTGGGAGAGTGCAGATGTATGGGTGTACCTGTATAGGCCAGGGGTATGACGTCTTCAGTTGCTATCTACCTGGTTGTTGTTTTGAGACAGCACCTCTCACTGTTTTAGAACTCACTGAGTGGGCTAGGCTGGTTGGCCAGTGACCCCTGGATTCTCCCATCTCCACCTCCCCAGAGCTATGAAAACAACTGTGCGCTGCTAGGCCTGGCTTTTTTGTTTGTTTAAAATCACGAGATCTGAATGTATCACACCCTTGTCCTCATGCTTGCACAGCACACACTTTGCTGACTGAGCCATGTCTATGTCCTCCACCATTCCACCACAACAACTTTGTCTTCAGTGACAGTCAGAGACTGCGGGCCTGCCAGGAAAATTTCACTGTTTATCAAGCATAAAAACAGGACTGGGGTTATGGCTTACCTAGCAGATGCAAAGGCCTGAGTTCAATGCCCAGTGCCAAAGAATAAACAGAAACCAAATTAAACCAAATGTCAGAGCCAGGAATGCTTACAAAGTCATCACAGAGAAGTGGCTATTCTGACAGTCCTGAAATACAGGATTCTTATTTAGTGGTACCAATTGCTGACTTCATACATTTGGAAACCTTACTAAATGCCCTTTGCACTTACGCAAGGGCTTATTAGTTGGAGTGCAAAGCACTTAAGTTGTGTGTGTGTGTGTGTGTGTGTGTGTTACAAATGTAGGGACAGGGTGCTTACTGTTGTGTATACACGTAGAAGCCAGAGGCTGACATAAAGTATCTTTTTCTACTGTGTCACACCTTATTTTTGGAGACAAGTTTTCTCACTGAACCTGGAGATCATTATTTTGCCAAGACTGGGGATCCTCCTGTCTCTGTTCCAGAATGCTGGGCTTGTAACCAGCCACAGACTCACCCAATTTTTATGCTGGTACTACGGATCTGAATTTGGGTCCTCAACCTTATACAACAGAAACTTTAGCAACTGAGCTGTCCCCACTCTCTGTATTTAAGGATTTTATTAGACAACAAACATGAACCAAGTGTTTAACATTAGAGACAAAATAATTGGCTGGAACCAAAATCTGAGACAGTATAGCAGTTTACACACAAGAAAGTTTCCAGCTTTCCATGACTAGAGCTATGAGTGCATTCTTGCCAAGGAAGGGCTTGGGCCTTCACCAGAAGAGAAAAGGGGCCCTTTGGAGTTGGAGCCCCTCTACAAAGAGAAGAGTTGATTTTGTCAAAGGTTTATATAGACATTATAGCTCATATCCTTACAGCGTGCCTAAGCCTTATAGCCATAGGCCTCTCTGAAAGAGGGCTATGTACAGAAGAGCAGTACTCATCATCTGCCAAAGAGATGTGGATCCAAGGGGCCACTGTTTGCCATCTGGCACCTCTTCTGAAGAGCTTGTGCATGAGTGAAGCCAGTCAGATTCCCACAGCAGCTTATTTTTATAATATAAATTCTGAGAAAGGTTTGAGCCTCCCCTTTACCTCTCATTAGCAAAGGCTTTAATGTTTAGCTAATGTGAATAAAGTTGTGTCTCTGGTCATCAGAGATTTCAGTACTCAGAAGCAGCAGAGATGAGAAGTTCCCAAGGAAAGACAAACTACTCTAAAAAAATTTTTTTAAATGATTGGGTACTGCAACTAGAAGCTTTGCAGGTGTGGCTGCTGTGTCACTAGTGTGTTAGTAGGTGGCAAAGAGAAGAGAAGCCATGTCCACACTCAATGTTCTGACCTATAACATCTGAGAGTTTAGTAGCCTAGCATTGCCTGAAAAAAAGCAAGCCTGTGATGGCCACCTTTTGGGCACCAGACTGGCCAGAGGGTGGGAATGGGTGGGGTGCAGACCATGCCTGAAATGAACCCTGCCCAGCTCCATAATTTACTTGTGGGGCATAGAGCTCCTGAAACCACTCCTGAGATAACCCCAGATACTCAGAGATTCTAGGCACTACTAAGAAGAGCAAGGAAGCGGTGAAGAATGGAAGAGAAAGAGAAATAGAAGAATGTGGGCACAAGGAAGAGAGACAGAACTGGACATTCGAAGGTAGTGAAGAACAGCCTGATCTGAGTACTCAGTAATGTCACCATGGTGGCAGTACTCAGTAATGGCACCATGGTGGAGTCCTGGTCTGTGCTGCAACTGAGGGACACATATGGGTCTGTAGCCCTGAAGCAGCAGGGGTCTGTTACCACCAAAGGCCAAGTGGATGTCCCTGATCTTGGACATCCACTTGATCTTGCCACCCAGGGAACATGTTGCCTTTCTGAAAGATGTTTAGAACTGGCCCCACCACTCACCTGGGCATCTTGGGAGAGACAGCCCTGGAGAGCTGACCCTACCACTAGCCAACTGCAATATTCAGGAGAACATCCCTGTACATTGTGGGAGTTGTGAGTGAGCCAGTCCCTGAGGATTAGAGTGTGGGAGACCTGGGTCTACCACTGTCTCCCATGTGGTGGTGTGGTTGAAAGAGAAATACCCCCCTCCCCACTTGCACCGCACCACCTGAGGAAGGCCGGAGAGTTGACCCTGTCCCTCACCTGGGCGACAGAGTAAAGCTGATCCTAGGAGCTTGGGCAAGCTGACTCCAAAGCCATGAGTGAGGGAGGGCTGGACGCACTACTTGTCTGCCATGTGGTGACATGGGCATGGGAGAAATGCCTGCCTCACCCCTTGCCAATGGCAGGCAGAAAGGCTTGCCCCACAGGTCATCAGAGTGGGAGAGATATCTTTGCCCCTCATCTGCTGCAGCTGACCCCAGATGTGAGGGTTGTGAGTGTGCCAGCACCCAAGGCCTGAGGGTGGGAGAGATGACCCTGCCTCTTGTCTGATTGGTGGTGATTCCGATGAGGAAGAGATGCCCTATTCCCCTCCTTCATCCTTTGCCATCTATGTCAGGCAGGAGAGGAGGACCTAGGGTCATAAGAGTGGAAGAACTGGCCATGTCCCTCACTGGCTGTAACACTCGGGAGATTGGGCCCTGCACCTCACCTGGGCAACAAGGTAAAGCAGGGTTGCTTGTAAGGGGGCCCCTGGGGCATGAGAATAGGAGTAATGGCAGGTGGGCTGACCAGCTAAGACACCTTTCAGGCCTAGATCCTGGGCTTTGAATTTCTCCACCCCAACGTATACCCCATTGATGAACTGCTGGGGACCATGAAGGTGCCAGTCCTACAGATCTAAAACTACAGGATCTTTATGACACAGAGAAACAACATGTCATCTGAGTGGTGGTGTCCCAGTGATGTTTCCTTATCCATAGAGTAGCAGAAGCCAGAAGCCTCCTAGTAGACCAACAAGTTATTGGAATGAACATTTACAAGCAAGGAAGTATGGACACACTGTGACACACTACAGCTTCCACAAAAAGTTTTTTTTTCCTCCAGGAGGAGGGTTGTAAGGGTGGAGGGTGGGTAAAAGGGGAGGGGGAGATGAGTGGGTTGGGGTGCATGATGTGAAATTCACAAAGAACCACAAAAGTAAGAATATATATATGTATATGTATGTATGTTTGTCTCAGCTACATAGTAAGTTTTAGGCCAGCCTGAGCTGTTTATCTCTATATGCAGGTGTGGGTATGGGCAGGCACACCTGTAGAGATCAAAGAACAACTTTGTGGAGTCAGTTCATTCCTTTCACCTTGGGTTCTGGGAATCAAACCACTTTGCTCAGCAAGTGGCTCTACCCACTGAACCACCTCATTGGGGATTTTTACTGTCATATAGCTAATACGAGGCAAACATGAGTGTGTGTGTGTGTGTGTGTGTGGCAAACATGAGTGTGTGTGTGTGTGTGTGTGTGTGTGTGTGTGTGTGTGTGTGTGACTGAGTTACCTCTTGGCCTCCCGATCCATTCACTGCTTTGTTCTGCATTGCTGGAATCTCTATTCGCAAGGCTCTGCTAATGAAGGGAAGCACTGCTGCAAGTTGGAGGGTCAATGTGTGCTCAGAACCCACTGAGATTTGAAAGGTGACACCCTCAAGGGCTGGATAATATGCACAGTGATTGCAGGCCAATGAGAAAGATCTCCTGTCCAGGTCCTGGCTCCCAAAGCATAGCCTCAGAAGGAGTATCTTCTCTCTTCTGCTAACCACCTACCTCTGGAAGCAGCATTTGGCACGGCAGCAGTATTTGTTGTTGCTATTTTTTTGGAATGTCCACAGTCTCTTGGTGCCTCTAGCTCATCTCAACCTGTGTCAACAAGTCCCTACATTGAAGTCCCACTGTCTTTCTCTAATATCGTCTTACAACCCTCGTAGTGTTATTGAGTATTTTTTAAAAATCTGTTTAACAATGAAAACTGTTTTATAACCTAAAAGCTCTTATATCACCCTTCCTGGGAACATGCTGAGCTGTTGAGAAGTGACTAAGTGACTTATACATTTTGTAAACATATATACATTAACAATTCATATTTTTGTTGATGCTAATTATTTTCCTTTGCGGAATTAGGCAGTTGCTCTCAAGATTCTACCCCACTTGTCCTGTGTAGCCCGAGTCTTCATTTCATTTCAAATAATGGCTTTTCCCAAAGGAAGTGTCTCCTTTCAGGATATCATAATCAGCTAATGGACTTAGTGATCAATGTTGTGTGCGGTAGAACATCAGAAATGTGCCATAAAATATGGAAAACAATTTAGCCACTCTCTAATGCAGGCAATTCTGGTAAAAACTATGCATGAAAAACATGTACCCAACCATATTTTCCTGCCTCACAACAAGATTAGATGCAATAAAAACCTTGTCTTAGCAAATCAGCATGTTAGAAGATGCTGTCAGCTATAACTTTGCAAAGATGTGTCCATTACCAAAGGGGAGCATTATCCTCAATTCACTCTCGTTTAAGATTGATGTCTGCTATAAGCCACCATCTGTCTCTAGATTCTGTGGCATCACAATGTCACCACTCTGCATGGTGGGGACAATTTGCAGTGTCTTGCTATCTCTCCACTCTTTCCTTTTCATAGTTAAGGATAAACAGACAGTTGTCAGAATGAATCAAGCAGGTATGACTGGCCATCTGAAGGGGAAGGATCAATGCTTAGCCCGGGTTCCTTTCCCTAAAGTGAGGCCCAGAATGCATTACAGGCGTCACGTCTCTGTGATTACCTCAGCAATTTATGTTAGTGGGTCATCAGCTGTTTTGTGACAGGAAAACATGTTTGTCACATCTGGTCAGCTTCACAAATTCCCCAAATTAAATAACACAGTGGCATTTTATTAAGCAAACAAGGATTTAAATATTGTTTTAAGGATGAAGCAATTAACAGACTAACTCACTCTTGTTTATTGACTGGAACAGAGTTCTCCAGTTCTGGCCCCTCATTCATTAATGAACTAATCTGGTTTAATAATACGTGTTTATTTATAAGTTATATATAACCTACAAGTACATATCACTGTACTTACATCATACATATAATACATCACAGGTCATTTATGCTAGTGTGTGTGCCAGTTTATAAGTATCAAATAATGGATTAAAAATAAATGTATACAAAATACCAGGCAGATTTACTGATATATTATCCTATATGCCCTTTCAATAACATAGGTATGTTAGATAGACATCAAGGTAATGGGACTGTAAGACTCCTCCACCAATTCCGCTCAACTCTTGTCCATTTATGGTGGGATTGCCTGACAAACTAGAGGATGCTCAATTAAATATTGGTAGAACACAGACTGAAAATCTATTATTGAGCTGAAATTAAAACTTGATTAAGTATCCTGAGCTATTCATTTTTTATTGATTGATTGATTGATTGTACTTACCAACACTAGCTTTGTCTTTTTCATCTAAGGGTACCTAGTCTTAAACATTTTCCTGCTTTTAGAATTGTGTTCTGATGTTTTGCTTGATAAAAATAAGTTACTTAGTTTGGGGGCATTTGTAAAATTGGCCAGACAGGCTAAAGTATACTTTCTTCTCATGAAGTGGTTGGTAAATCCCTGAGAAAAACTTCTGTGAAGTAAATGCATTCCCATAATTCAGTTAATAAACCCTTCATTTTTACTCTTCTGGCTCCCTTACCAAGTCTGGTACTGGCACAAGACTGACAGAAATAAAGCCAGCATTTTGCTGTGATTTTGCTAAGTGATTTGACCTACTGTAGAATCTCTGCTTCCAAACCTATCTAAGCAGAACTTCACAAAACCAGTCTCTGCATGTCACTTGAGCTGATGGTATGCATGCACACACAGTATTAACTGGACTGGCTTATTCTCTAACCACGTTCTCAATGTCAAATATACATTAAAAATTAAGAAGCTTGTACAAGTTTACATTCCCACCAGCAGTGGAGGAGGATTCCCCTTTCTCCACACCCTCTCTAGCATGTGTTGTCACTTGAGTTTTTGATCTTAGCCATTCTGAAGGGTGTAAGGAGAAATCTCAGCGTTGTTTTGATTTGCATTTCCCTGATGAACAGGGACATTGAGCATTTCTTTAAGTGTTTTTCTGGCATTTGATATTCCTCTATTGAGAATTCTTTGTTTAGCTCTGTGCTCCATTTTTAATTGGATTACTTGATTTGTTGCTTTTTAGCTTCTTGAGTTCTTTATATATTCTGGATATTAGCCCTCTGTCAGATATAGGATTGCACTTCAGTGTCCAAGTGGCCTCCATAGTAATGGGGACAGGGACTGTCTCTGACATGAACTGATTGGCCTGCTCTTTGATCACCTCCCCCTCAGGGGGTGCAACCTTACCAGGACACAGAGGAAGACAATGTAGCCAGTCCTGATGAGACCTGGATCAGAAG